AAATTATCAATATAAAGAAGACCCGCACGGTTGTGCAAATCAAGATCTAGTCCAATCTATTAAAACTGTAGTACAAATTTAGATTATCTCTTAGATTTTCACTATATTTACATTATCATGCCATTGATGTTTTAAATGAAGCTATATTTATAGATATTTTGTCTTTTCCAGAATTAATGAAATAACAATTACTCCTAACTGTATGCATTCCATATCTTTTCTAAAATCAGTAAAATATTTCCTAAATTAAATTTATATATTGCATAGCTATATTGTTTTGAACAACATCATATTCAAAACTATTAAAATTAATGCACATTAATAATATAGATGAACTATTTATGTAACAATATAAGTTACATTTGTCTCTGTATCATTCCTCCCCACAACATTTTTTTTCCCTTTGTTCTGAACAAACTTTTATTTTCACCAATATAAATATATTACATACACCACTATAATTATTTATCAAATTTAATGTAAAATTTTTATTTATGTATTTTATTTGTATTGTCTTAGGAGTTAACGTTAAGTGTTTTCATGTTTTGATTAACATTATTTTTCTCCTTAACAAACTATTATTTTTCACACACATAATCTTTAAAAATATTTTTTTTTACTATTAAAAGCTGAATCATTTGTTAAAAAAATCATGCTCATTCCTTATTATAGGGTGAAAAAGAAATATTTTCTATAATTTAGTTTATCTATAAATAAAAATTTATAACATATTTAATGTATATTTGATTTAGCATATACAATATCTAATCTATTTAAGAGAAGTCATGACTCTTTTAATGTGTGATACTTTAAATGGATCATCTACTACAATTTATAACATTACACTAGATTTTGACCGTGCTTAAAAAGCACGGGTTTTTGTTAGACAATAAAGAAATTTTGATATAAATTAGTATTTTGGAATTGATGTACATTTAATCGTATTATATCGAAATATATTTTTTTGAAAAATTATATAATTTAAAAATTAGTTTATTTGAAATTTTGTATGTACATTTTTAATGTAACTTTCTCTGATCTTGGCATTTTACCTAGATCGAAAACACGACCGTAACCGACACGAAAATACAGATTTTGTTTGGATCCATAAAAAAGTACCTACTGTCTATTTTTAAAAATCCGCAGGAATCGATTCTAGTCTGGATCATACTCGAGACCCGATCGGGTAAATAAAAGTACTTTTTTCATATTATATATGTTTTAATATATCATATATGTTTTTGGTATTATGTATATTCTCTTAAGTTTCACTTACAATTTTTGGTTTCAGGTAAAATTTCCACCGAATATATATATTTTGGGTATTTTTTTTTCGAGTCAGATTAGGTAAAATTTAGGATTTTCAGATATTTGAGTATTTAGTTATGGTTTGAAGTATTTTTTTGAGATTCTGATATTTTTCGGGTTTATTGGTACTTCTGGTCCTAAATATCTAAACCTACATAGACCTGCTACATACCTGAAAATTAGAAATTACCACACTGGATATATATACAAAATTAGATAATTCAAAAAAATATTGAAAGTATAAGTTACGATCTTTCACGAATCTAGATATATTTATAAACAAAAGGTTTAAAAAGATTCTCTATAATAAAAAAATCATTAATCTTATAACTTGTTTGTATAAATATCTCCAAACATTAGAATACTATGATAATAAACCGATTTGTGTATTATTACCATATACTATGTTATAAATAGGTTTACCCTTAAAACAATTAAATTTGGTTCCAAACATATTGGTCGTGAATGCGGATGTTTAATATATTTTATATTCTCCATTTATTAAACACCAGCTATGAAAACTAATCAATGAAAAGGATGGAGTGTACGGTTGCAGAGTTGGTTACTCAAACAAATGATATAGTTTTTATATAATTGGTGAAATCAGTCACGTATTATGAAATTAATGAGACATGTTTACAAAAGAATAATATACTATAAGGTTAAAGTAACGTATTGTGAAGAAATAAGAATATTGAATAATAAGAGTAATGTATAATAAATAAGAATATTGACTAATGTATTATTAGAGAAATATAAGATTAATTATATGATATAATATTATTGCACAGTTTGGTTGGAGAAATATTAGAAAAGACCAAAAAAGGTTAGTCTAATGAAATGGCCCAAACAATTTTTATAGGCAGATTTATTTAAGTTCATTCTCTTTTAATAGTATAGATTATTCAATTATTAACAAGGTTTATTGGGTTCATTAATAACATTTATTGGGCTTACAAGATATTTTTATTGGGCTAATCATAATTAAAATACATGATTAAATTGAAAATCCCTTGGATTTATAGATAGTATAACAAAATACATGTTTAAATTAAATAAAAATGTTGTAATAATATAAGTTAATTATTTACATATTTTTCGATGTTAACTTTTAAAATTATGTAGTTTATTTTTAAAAATAACAAAATCATCATTTTCTAACAATAGTAATCTATACTACTTAAAAAAAAACAAAATCTAATTTTTTAATTATATACTCCATAATATGAAGCTAAGAGTTAAAATTTTGTAAAAATTTATAAATTTGAGAAATGTTAGAATATCTTTAGAGATTACAATAAAACAATATTTTACCAATCTTTACATATATTTAAGAATTCAATAGTGAAATAATAATGGAATATATATATATATATATATATATATATATATATATATATATATATATATATATATATATAAGAAGATACAAATACATGTGAAAATTTGAAATAGTCTATTCGATGAAAACTAGTATATGGTAAAATTGTTATCGTTTAAAAAGTTGATATACACACCTCATATAATATACAGAAATTGGTGGGATTGTCCCTAAATACACCTCATATTTGCCATCTAACATTCCAAATGAGAAACTATTTCGTGTGACCATTATACCCCTATCTCATTCTCTCTCTCTTCTCTTCCATATCTTCTAATCTCTTTATCTCTCACACATGACATGTTTATGCTTTCATTTTTTCATCATAAATCTCTATTTTTTACTCTGATTCTTTTGACACCCATATTGCTAATGTTACTATCGCACACTAATTCTATTTTTTCTAATTTCAAATCTTGATATATACATTCTTTTATTTGGATAATATGTAAGTTAGCAGCTATTTCATTATTTATCCGTTATTATTATATTTTAATGAATTTGTAACCGATACATAGAGTGTTAGCTGTTACAAATAGGATTATGGCTATTTGATAGATAATTGATTAGTGGTTAATAAATGTATTTTTATGATAAAAGTATTGTTAACATGCTAACCTGTTTGTTAGCAATTATTTAACACGTTAATAAATAGACGTAACACGATAACAAAATTTGTAGCATGTTAAAATTTTGTCAATTTGCTAACAATTTTTATATCATGTTAAAATTGATAAATATCTCTTATTTTTCAGTTAACATAATGTGTATCCGCTAAATCTAGAGTTACATGTTTTCGATAAAGTAAGAGGGCATTTTCGTCCGCACAGTGTCAAAAGGTTACTCCTTTTTGGATTATCCATAACCATGGACATTCGGCCAATTTGAATCTTCGTTAGGTACATTACACCAATTGTCTCTATAATATATACCAATTTTGAAAGTGAACAAAATGTTTATATAAAAAAAAATGAAAACAAATATCCGCGCAGTTGCGTGGATTGAGATCTAGTATGTATTTATAATCTTATCTTTTATGCTATATTTTAATAAAATACACGCATCAGAAACATGATAAAAATATACGAGTTAAATGTCATGATCAAACAAATAAACGTTAATATATACATAGATAAAAAACAATGATCAAAATATATATATAATGTTAATATATACATAGATAGTCATGATCAAACAAATAAACGTTAATATATACATTTATAATCTTATCTTTTATGCTATATTTTTATGCTCTTACAAATGTTAATATATACATAGATAAAAAACAATGATAAAAAAAAAATATATATATATAACACTATATTCATTTAAATTATAAAATAGAAATAATTAATTTATATAGTATATAAATAAAATAAAAATTAATAAAAATAAATACCCGCTTGGGGGAGTGAGTCAAACACTAGTGTTCCCTTAAAGAGCCATCTCAAAATTTAGAGTCAACTTCTCCTGTACCCCTATTTTCTTAGAGGTAATCTTCTATGGTCTCGCGTGATCTCTTATACCCCTATTTCATAATTCTATTTTTGATCAAAACCTAAACCCCCCAATTAAATCTTTTTCGGTGTTCAAAACTAAAAAAAAACCCTCCCCAATGGTTGGGTAAACCCATGGGCAAATATTTAAATTCTATAGGTTTCAAATTCGAAAAAAATATTGTAAAATCGTTTTTTAATCATATTTTGATGATTTTCGTGAAAATATGAAAAAAACGGTTTTTGATTTTTGAAATAATTTTATCAAATTCTATAAATCAGATAAAAAATATTCACGTTTCAAGTTTAATTTTATGTTTTTTCGTTTCACATATAAAATTAAAAGAAGAAAAGTGTCTAAGAGAGATTAGAGGTTGAGATTTAGGGGTATGAGAGGAATTGCCTCCAAAATTTACCATTCACTACTAGTTAGAATTTTCACTATTATATAGATTTAACAAACAAATAAACGTTTATTATTCAGTAAAAAAATTTCATTATTAGATTATAAAACATACGCGGTCAAATAAACGTGATAAATTATTATTTTTGGTTTTACAAATTTTAACAATATTTGTTTTATTCCCTAAATTATATTGTTATATATTTGAATTCGAAAATGAGATCTCTTATCTTATTATCGGTGCAGCCCCACTTGATTTAATGCTATTTTGTTGTTTTGTAGCACAGAGCCTACCATAACCAAAGTTTGTGTACCAACATTTATTGATGGAAGTCTTGGCCACACAAATAATCAAGAAACATATATCATCAACCAATATAAATAGCACCACAAGCATACAACAATTTTCACCAGCAATACTACAAAGTGTGTTTTGAGTGAAAGATAATGAAGTCTGTTTCCATATTAGCTCTCTTGGTTCTCTTTCTAGTGGTCTCTGGTAAGAAAATTACAAACATGGATTACTATAATTTAGTATTTATAATATTTTCGTTCCTAATGATATAATATAACTAACGCACGTCTATAAATTATCGTGACCTTATATTCATTCTCATGAATCTTAAAACCTTCAAGTTGTAACTTCTCCGGTTACGAGAGAGTGCCCTATAACATCATTCGATATTTTCTTGTGCAGAAACACCGAAGATAAAAGCCAACAACAATGCATGTTTCGAGGAATACAATCCTACCGGAGATGAAACGCCGGATTTTCTTCTTTGTAGGGTTCCGGTCTATCCGTCCCTATGTTACAAGAAGTGCCAAGAAACTCGAGAGGGAGCAAAAGGAGGGAAATGCAAATTCGATATAAACCCTGCAGATAGTAAATGCTTTTGCAACTATTGCTCTGATGATTCCATTCCACTCTACTTAACCAAATCAATCGTTATGTAGTAGTCAACAAACTGCAGTTGCTAAGCCTGCTACATGTGCAACCACGTGCAGACTGATCTTTCAAACTTTTATGTCTCTCTGTTTAAATATGTATGTTGATGTTGCCATTTGACAGATTTATAAATTAAAGGAACATATAAAATATGGGATTTGAAATTTCATGTGTTATACAAGTTTTTTCATGTGATATTTATCCTCTTGGTGTTTCATGAAATAGTTATATTGTCTTAGAGCATGAGCATTGGCCACCGATCATGGTAGGTAAGAGATGTAAGTGTATGGTTTGATTCTGTTGAATTCATATTTTAAAATCTGTTGGCAAATGCTAGTTTATGGCATGCCTCTATAGTGTTATGATAGGGGGCAGACGAGAGATTAAGGTCCAAAGGACCAATTTAACAAAAAAAAATAAAGTCGATAAAAAAACATGTGTATTGTTTGTAATAAATAAAAACAAGAAGCCACAAAATGTAAATTAAACAAAAGTGCAGCGGACATAAGTAAGAGACTGAACAAAACTCTCGTCTCTCAACTTAGCTTCGCTTCCTCTTTGCGCCTCCATAGGACTCTTCTCGCTGCTACTCCTCTCTGCCTCTCAAGCCTCCTTAGCAGGTCGCTTCTTTAAAAGGACTTTAGACTACTCGATATCTTCAGATTATATCAGACAGTTCTTCTTTTGTTAGTCTAATTGGGTTTGTAACAAGTAACTAAAGAGTGTTTAGGGTTTGATTCTCCGGTGTTTGCAGATGGCGAGCAATATAATCTTGTTCGAGGATATTTTCGTGATCAATAGGCTAGACCCTGATGGCAAAAAGTTCGATAAAGGTTCATACTTTCTAACTTCAACCACGATTTGTAACTCCATGTTATGGCTTTTTAAGTCGATGTTACTGCATGTCTGTTTCGTTTCTGATATGAAATTGTAGCTTCTTTTGTTTGTTTTTTAGTTTTAGAGAGATTAAAATAGAAGTTAGTGTAAATAAAAATCTGCAACTTTAGAGGTATTTTTTTTGGTCTCTCATGTCTAAGTTTTGTTCTGTCTTCACTGACTCATAGGAAACATTACATTGATTGGTTATGTCTCTATGTGTTTTTGGTTTTATGTTTGGTTCTGTCTTTCATGTTGAGAGGCTGTCTCATAGGAAACGGTACAATGATTTATTGTGTCTCTCTCTGTGTTTGTTTTAACTCTCCCATCTCTAAGTTTTGTTCAGTCTTCAAATTAAGAGTCTTTCTCATAGACAACGTTACAGTGATTGATTGTGTCTTTCTGTGTGTGTTTGTGGTTACAGTGACGCGTATTGAAGCAAGGAGCCACAACTTGGACATGTTTATGCATTTAGATGTTAACACAGAGGTTTATCCGATGGCTGTTGGCGACAAGTTCACACTGGCTATGGCTCCAACGCTTAATCTCGATGGAACCCCTGATACCGGATATTTTACTCCGGTAATAAAAGTGTTCTGCTTTTTTTACTCACTTTCTATGTTCAGTGTACATACATACAGGCTCTTGTTTGCTTTGCCAGGATCATTAATAGCTATTATAATTATGTATTACAGGGAGCAAAGAAAACGCTTGCTGATAAGTACGAATACGTGATGCACGGGAAGCTTTACAAGATCACTGAGAGTGATGGCAAAACTCCAAAAGCGTAAGAAGAACACACAATCTCAAAACTTTCAGAATCAATGTTTTTTTGCACGTATAGATTCTATCAGGTCTAAACTGTTTTGGTTATGTTTGTTTCAGAGAGATGTATGTTTCTTTTGGCGGCCTCTTGATGTTGCTTAGGGGAGATCCAGCTCACATTTCTCACTTTGAACTCGACCAGAGGCTCTTTCTACTCATGAGGAAGCTGTGAGATTCCATTTTCTGTTTATGTTTGGCTTAGAAAACCCAAATAAACAGAGAGCTTGATAAAACTTCATCTTCGTATCTTTGCTTTTGATGTTATGCCCACGAATCAGCTCTTGTACAAAAGCAAGTTTTTATTGTTTTAACATCCTGTTGACACATAAATGATGGTGCTATCTATACTTATATTGTTATTTGTGCTCAGAAATAGGATTATATGCAATACCAACGTATAGGAACCTCGGAACGGGTTCCCTATATCAATCTTATTCTGTATTATAATCTTTAGTTGGTCTGACAACAGGTACCAAAAAGACAAATATTGAATTTTGGTTTACAACATCATCATAGTAATTTTATGGTAGATCAAGCACATTCTACGCGTTTGGATTCAAAATCGACATAAATATTTAATTTCATATTTATTGATCTGATTTTAAAATACTTGAATATATGTTATTAGCCAAAGTGGAAATGAGTTTGAATTTAAAATAGATTTCACCCAAAATTATGAAATCTCCAAATTCAATATATTATTAACTGAAAATAACTTGAACTTTAATAAAAACAAAATAAAATAGATATCTAACTTCGAAGTATTATTAATTAAACATGATCCTAACTTAAACACAACTCGAATGAATAAAACACTGAAAACCAAAAAAAAAAAAACGATTTGTAACACTCATGTCAATCTTTTTCCAAAGACATTTTGAATGGAGACACACATGTGCCATAATCTTCTTTCAGTTTTCCAATGTCAGTTTAAGTGTTTTATCTGGACTCTTTTTTTTTTTTTTTAAATATGGTTATTTTGTTTCAATGTTCCACTTATATATATTTCCTATGTTTCATTATAAGTGTCATTTTAACTTCATGCACACGGACTAAAGAAACAATTAGTGTTACATATTTTCTATATAAAAACACAATTACATATACACCTAACCATATTTCAATCAATAAAAAAAATAAAATGCATAATAAAATTAATAAATTTTGTATTGAAAACCGAAAACGACACTTATTTTATAACGAAAAAATTCAATATTATGACATTTAATATGAAACGGAAGGAGTAGTATACAACTTTGATACCTTTTTTGAAATAATTGACTTAGGATCTGACTGGTTTTCTGACTACCATCCGCAAATATAAATTTTGCGTTTGGTAGCAGTTGTTGCCATCTATAACAATCACGAAAATGCTATAATCATTTTGAATAGTTTCAAACCTCTTAAAATCATAATGGTTCTCACTATCATTTGTGATTGTGGACGGCTGCATGTAGATAAATAAATGAAAAATATTTTCTACAAAAATATTTTAATTTATATTTAAATTTTAAAATTGAAATCTTATAAATAAGGTATATAAATACATTTTAAGTTTTCATTTATATTCACTAAAAATATCATGTATTATATCATACAAAAATTAAACCAAGAATATTTATTATAATCTGAAACGGTAATATGTATACAAAAATAAACATATATAAACCAAACAAAATATTTTAAAATCTCTAATATAATTTTTTTTTAAAATAATTGAAATTATAAATTTCATTTAAACTAATGAAAATGAATAAATAAACAAAAAATAGTGTTAATAATTATATTATATTAATAGTTTTTATATTTTATCATAATAGTATATTTTGATATTTTTATAATTTTCTAATGTGTTAGTATTGATAATTTATTATTAAACTGCTACAATATCTCATAATTAACCAGTCGTAAATATCTCACAAACTTACCAATTTTTAACTGTCGTACCAAGCATACAAATTTTTTAATAATTTTTGAAACTGCAAACTCCCATAACCACTGCATTTCAACCGGTCAGTGCCTTAATCACATAACACATCCAATTTAAAATCAATTTATTTGTGTTATTACTATTTCCTTTTAATCAATCTTTCTAATAAATTTATAGAAATTTAGACATTATAAACATATTTTAAGAATCAATTAGTTTAACTTGATTTCATGACACATCCAATTTAATTTAAATATGTATTTATCTCATTTTAAGTGTTTATAATTTTTGGGAATAGAGCTAAGACTTATAATAGCTTTCTAGATTGCTAATGATTTTCTACCTATTGTAATTTCTTTCTTACCTTCTTTATGTAGTATTGGTGCCAATGTAAGTTATTATATATACAAATCAAATTCTTTATAAAACCGAATTGTTATTGTCTTTATCATAAACCTCTTCCATACAAAAATACAATGCAAATGGTTGAACTTCCTTGGAAAATGGAGGAAAATATTTTCTCTGACTCCAATAAAGTCTCTTACTCGTTTCAGATCCGTTTGTAAACGATGGAACGCTCTTTTCAACAGCAAAATTTTTATCAACAATCATTTGTCTCATGCTCATCCACAATTCATTTTTTTTTTTTGAATCCAAGACTTGTATTGTGGACGTTAATCTTGATGGTCCATTTATAGAGGTGCATGACTTACCCCAGTTTGTTCCCGATTATAGAGCTTTTTTCGCCACAACAGTCGGATTTTGCGGTGGGTTATGTTTTCTACAACTAAAGGGGCGGGGATATGCAACCCATGGCTGAGACAGATTAGATGGAACAATTCCATTGTAGATACTCATAGTGGGATAGGATATGACAACAGTACACCCGACAAATAATACAAGATATTTGGTTCTTTTAGCTCTAATGATACAACTTTGCATGGTAATATCACCGAGTCTGGATCTGGTGAAAATAAATCTAAGACGTACGAGTTTGCAATGAGTTTATATGGGACCAATATATACTGTATCTTTAAATGGAACTCTGTATTGGATTGCTTTAAGTAGTGTGTCTAATGAGCATTTTATTTAAACATTTGATTTCTCTACTAAGATATTCGAATTTTATTGTACCTTGCCTACTAAAACCTCCTAGATATCTTAACGTTTATAGAGGAGATTGGTTTTCGTATTTAGAGCAAAAATGTGACACAAGGAATATGGAGATTTGGGTGACCAAAAACAAGATTAAAAATAAGGGTGGGGAGGCTGTGGAGTGGATGAAGTTTATGAATATGTCAGTTTGATAGACTTTAGGTCTCTCTATCTCTGTGAATCCAAGACTCTCTTATTGAATATGAAAGGAACAATCGATTATAGCTTGATTAAGAAACTAACTAAGCTCTCATGGCGGACTTAGCTAGGATCAACGATCTCATGGCGATCGTGAGGTCTAGACTCATGGCGTCTAAAACAATCAACATCAAGCATAAAGAAACGTAAGAAACATTCTTCCTTATTTATACTATCTTCTTCAAGAGACTTCACTCCACGTGCAACTCTTCTTTCTCTAATTGCTTCAGGTTCAACAGCAAAGCTTCATAACCAATTAGAGTGTCTCCTTCACTCTACTTCCTTGTCCATATCAGCTTCCTCACGTGCCCATCAGCAGATAGATATTAGGTATCTATCACAGTTCTTGACTGGTCGAGTTTTAAGCTCTCTTTTGATATACACTAAGCTACTTCATCAATGATAAAAGTCTTCGTCTAGTGTTGTGTAGTTATAACGATGGGGGAAAGACTACCCATCTATATTGCGAAGGGAGATAAGTCTAACGAAATTAGACTAGATGATTTGGTTGACGATTGTCCACATCAGTGTACCTATTTTCCTAGTCTTGTCCAAGTTCCTACGTTCACGATGAGGGGCATGGAGCCTGTTGAGTCCCGCTTCACACTCCCTAAGGGTTCACGATGAGTGACATGGAGCCTGTTGAGTCCCGCTTCACACTCCCTAAGGGAGTAGAGGTGAGCAATGGAGTTGGAGAAATCGAGTGGGACGATGGCTTCTTCGATCATATAAGGACAATATATGTAGGAGAAAGTGATCTTGGTGGCGTCTTCCTCAAGTATTACATCAAATAAACATGGATTTTTTTGGAACCGGTTAGAGTGTTAAAGCCCTTATTCCACAGCCAGAGGACAGGGAGGTTTCTTGTTTTGTTAATTATTTTATAACTAATAATTTCATGAAATTTAATATATATCTTTTATTGATAGCTTATGATAGCTAACGATGACTACCTCGAAGCCATTGAGGGGACTTACACTGAGAGTCAAATCACATCCCTCACACTCATGACGAAAGAATATTGACCGTTATCGTGTGGACACTTTAACGGAAAAATATTAACCATTATCTTCAACCTATTCAATTAAATGATGTTTCCGTCGATCTTGTATTTTTTATCATGATTAATTAGTCTGAAATAATATATGAATTTTCAACAATCATTTTAGAGCACAAGAAAAAAGAAAAAAAAAAGATAGTTCATCACAAATGGGATAATTGGATTATTAATATATTGATTTTTTTATTAAAATCATTCCAATGTTTTTATTTTATTTTATAATAGAGTAATTTTAAAAGAAAATGTGTTTCCTCCAATGCATTCTTCTATTTTTACTTCTAAAAATGAAAATTCTCAAAATATTTCTTTTAAACTTTTTATCACAACATATTCTTCTTATTTATAAATTTGAAACTTAACCCTTTCTGCAATTTTTATAAAAAAAATGAACTTGTTTAACCTAATTTCCTTTAATAGACTATAATATAGATAAATAGTGTGATTTTATTTTATAAAAATTGTAATTTTGTCTTAGTCATAATTATAAATTTTTTAAAAATTAAAAGGACTGTTTTAAAATAAAAATATAACTCTATAATAGATGAATGCTATTTTTCTTTTATATATTGAGAAAAAATAGTAATTTATGTTTTAGAGTAAGATAAAAAAGGATTGGAGCATATATTTTTCTTATAACATTTAGTAATAGAAAAGGCAATGCATTACGGATGATTTACTTTCGAATTTGAATCTTTTACGAAACCACAATGATCGAGACGCAATGACCATATGGTTTTATGGATTACCCTAAAAAGTGAGCCACATGGGAGAACCACAATATTGAAGAAGATAACCATCAGTTACAATGCCTTGAGTAATGTGGCTTCCAAAACAAATCATAAGAAACTGTACAATGATTTGTTTTGTCTCTCTGTGTTTGTGATTACTCTCCTATCTCTAAGTTTGGTTATTTCTTCATATTGAGAGGCTGTCTTATACACAACGTTACGGTGATTGATTGTGTATTTTTGTGTGTTTTTGGCTACAGTTACGCGTATTGAAGCAAGGAGCCACAACTTGGACATGTTTATGCATTTAGATGGTGACACTGGCTATGGTGATAAGTTCACACTGGCTATGGCTCCAACCCTTAATCTAGATGGAACTTCTGATACTGGATATTTTACTCCGATAAAAAAGTGTTTACTTATTATTACTCACTTTCTATGTTTTGTGAAGTTTGGTCATGTTGAGTCTGTTTCTACTCTGAACATTAACAGTTTTCATATTTATATATTACATGGAGCAAAGAAAACGCTTGCTGATAAGTACGAATATGTGATGCACGGGAAGCTTTACAAGATCACTGAGAGTGATGGCAAAACTCCTAAAGCGTAAGAAGAACACACAAATTCAAAACTTTCAGAATCCATGTTTATTTTTTATCGCAGATATTATTCCTATCAGTTCTAAACTGTTTTGGTTATGTTTGTTCCAGAGATCTTTTGGCGGCCTCTTGATGTTTCTTAGGGGAGATCCAGCTCACATTTCTCACTTTGAGCTCGACCAGAGGCTCTTCCTACTGATGAGGAAGCTGTGAGATTCCATTGTCTGATTATGCCTGGCTTAGAAAAAACAAATACACAGAGAGCTTGATGCGTTTGAGCTAGAAAATAACTTTATTCACGATAATTTAATAGTTTCTAAAACATAACGTTAGTATTTTCTGAATATTTCAAGTTTTTCAACATTTTATTTTTCTTCATCCGACATTATTGTAGATGTCCCTTATCTAGCATTTGTGTATTGATCTTACAAATATACTAAAGTTAATCCATATTAAGGAAAATGTTTTATCAGCTTGCATCAAAACATTTATCTCGATATAAGTTGTAACGTCCTCTAAATGAGTTGGTCTCATTCTTAAATAATCGTAAATAAGTGTATTTTTACCGAAGGAATACTTGAAACTAGAAACACACATGTGTCATCTTCTTTCAATTTTCCAATATCTGCTTAAGTACTTTATACGTGTGGGATGTATTTTTTTTTACTTTTTATATTAAGAATCTAGTTTATCAAATGTAATCGTTAATATGTTAATTTAATTGTAAAAGTTGATTTACAATTAACGATGTAGTTGTTTATTTGTGGGAAGTTGTGTGGGATGTATTTTTTTTTACGTTTTATATTAAGAATCTAGTTTATCAAATGTAATCGTTAATATGCTAATTTAATTGTAAAAGTTGATTTACAATTAACGATGTAGTTGTTTACTTGTGGAAAGTTTAAGTCACCGGATAAACGGTTGAGAATGAAGATCATCTTTTTGAATTGTATTTGAGCTTTTGTAGTTTTAATATATTTGTTTAATTAAAAGTGATTGTTTTGTATGTATAATAAATTTTAGTTTTTGCTGAGCTAATATTTTGATAGAAATAACATGTGAAAGTTAAAACGATAATGTATTATTTAGTGGCAAAGAATGTACATGTATGGTTTAAAAGATATAGTCTTCTAAATATTGTTTTTATTTTTTACTTTTGAGCCGCTTTCTCAAGGATTGGTGATTATCATATTAATTACCAATATCTTGTAACCCGGGAGATGATATCTCGTAAAATTTATTTCAAGAAGTCTTCGATGTTAGAGAATGACTGATTTATATTTATTTGAAATATAGATTTTAGAAGAAGTTGTTGGATTTTAGCGGAGGTTGCTAGGATTTTTCTATCCGTGTAAACAGCACAAAATTTTTTATGTTAGGTTATATGTGATTTAATGAAAGGATTTACTGACCGTGGTAATTTATTGGTAATGTTGTAGGCTAGCGTAGGTCAATTTAGTTAATTCATCAAACATTTACTACAAAACTAAGGAAAGTTTGTTCGTAATAGTTAAATTTGAAACTTTAGCATATTGTTGTTTGTGTTTGCGTTTGTTTTTAATTTTTTATTACAGTGATAATTTGCTTTGGCAAAAGACAAACATACTATTGTCATGGATCTCTGATTTATAAGACTGGTTTTTAATTTATGCATATTATAAATATATTAACAAAATCAAATTTATTTATTATGTTTCTTTTAATGCTGTATTTTTTTTAGTTTATTATGTAACTTTGTATACTTTTCAATGTTTTCACACATGTAAATTTTACAAGATTAGTAGTAACATTTCATTGTTATTTAAAATATATATATTTAAAATAAAAAAATAAAATTAGATATTTAAATGAGGTGATGTATATGAAGATGATATGATACTTATTATTGAGTTTATCTATCTACCATAATTGTAAAATATTAAAAATATAAATATATCAGTATAAATTACTTAATTTTGTTATTTGATAAAAAAATATATAGGAAATTTTATTTATGATTATAAAAATTATAGATGATTTGTGTTAAAGATATGATTTATTATAAAAAACAAATTACGAACAATATAATGTAGTGTTAATATAATTAGTCTAAATATAAAGATGTAGGAGACTTCATAAGAGCTTGGAAAATATGGTAGATTTCATAATTTCAAACTTATGATGATATTTAGCGTTCTATTTTTATAATTTTAATAATTTCAAAAATGGAATAGTCGTTGAAGAGGTTTGTGTTTTTTACCTAATACATTAGTTGTATAAGTTAAGAAAATTTGAATTTCGATTATCTAGCATGAATTTATGTATGCAAACTAAGCTAATAGATTATATATACTTAGATAAAAGACTATAGATTGTCCAAAAATAATCTTATAGGTACAAATACAATACATGAAAAAACAAAGTAAGTTCATCATGAATTTTCAGCAACCGAACTTCGACGGTTGTGCTACAATGTCCTGGTTTTGTGCAGTTGTTACATCTCCAGAAAATCCAGAGATTTAAATAATCCAACAAACACATGAGATTTAAACTCATAGAGAGAAAACCAAAAATCTCAAACTTTACAGGAAAAAGAATTATATTGACAAATGGAAAACAATGATTCTCATTGACTAAACAAATATTCACTTTCAATCACTCACATATAAGAGACACAAATTATACATCAATGTATCATTGCTATTGACTATCTGATTTGAAGAACCAAACAACGGTCCACTTCATCTCAAATTTCAATAAAAAAGCTACATTTTCACCTACCCATAATAAACATAGCGCCAAGGTGTGCTCCAAGGATGGAAAGAAACAAACAACTAACAATTCAAAGGAAATGATCTCAAGAAGAAGCTCACTTTCGGCAGATAGATACATCACTGCGGTGAACATGAGAAATTTATAAACCAAATTAAAAACACTTTACCAAGAACCATGAACTCATAAGTATGTTTACATGCCTCCTCTTTATCTTCAACCGAGACCACCGTCTTGATAACAGATCCAAAACCGAGACTTTCACCGTTGATTCCATCGGAGATGAAATCGGTAGAAGATGAACGTACGGTGACGAATCGAGCGTAAACTGATCAAGTGAAGAAGAGAAAGAAGAAGTGACCGTTACATATCAAAGAAGACGATAAAGATAAATCCTAAATATCAAAGTTGCCATCCATCGTGAAGAAGATGTTAAAGGTGAGAAAAATTTTTTTTGTTTAATTTTACTGGACTAATAACAATAATATTAATTCAAACTCATATCATTTGTAAAAGCCAAAAGAAAATTCAAATAAAATAAAATATTATTATAATTGGGTTTTAAAAAATTCAAGAAATGATAGCATAACAAGTGTCATTTTTTGCCCCTATGAAGAGAAAAAAAAAAACTCTACTTTATTATATAAGATTATTTTTAGAAAGGATATGGTTATTTAGTTTCAAAATTTCACTTATGCACAACTTTGATATACCTATTTATTTTTTGGAGATAGATCTACTTAATCATATGACACATCTAATCTAAAAATAACTTATTTGTCTCTTATTATTTCCTTTTAATCAATCTTTCTAATAAATTTAAAGAAAATTAGATAATAGAAACATATATTAAGAATCAATTAGTTTAATTTAACTTCATGACACATCAAATCTAAATTTAAATACATATTTATCTCATTCTAACTTTTTACATTGTCTTTTTGGGAAAAAGAACTAGACTTTTTGTAGCTTTCTGGATTGCTAATGATTTTCTACCTATTGTAATTTATTTCTTACCTTCTTTATGTAGTATAGATACCAATGTAAGTTATTTACATATACAAATCTAGATCTATATAAAATCAAAATGTGATGCGACTGTTTTTATCATAACCTCTTCCATACAATAATAATACAGTGCAAATGATAGAACTTCCTCGGGAATTGGAGGAAAAGATACTCTCACTGACTCCAATAAAGTCTTTCACTCGTTTCAGATCCGTTTGCAAACGATGGAACGCTCTTTTCAACGACAAACTTTTTGTCAACCATCATTTGTCTCTTGCTCGTCCACAATTCATTTTGTTTTACGAATCCAAGATTTGTATTGTGGATGTTAATCTTGATGGTCCATCTATAGAGGTACATAACATACCCAACTTTGTCCCCGGTTATGGAGATACTTTGGCCATGACAGTTGAATGTTGCGATGGGTTATTGATGTTTTCAACAATTAGAGGGATCGGGATATGCAACCCATGGTTGAGACAAATTATCTGGAACAAATCCATTGTACATACTCATAGTGGGATAGGATATGACAATAGTACACCCGACAAAGAATACAAGATCTTTGGTTCTTGTAGCTATGCCTATAATGATTCAACTCTGCATGCTAATATCATCAAGTTTGGATCTGATGCAAAGAAACCTAAAACGTACAAAGTTGCAATTGACTTATGTTCTACTTCCAGTAGTGTATCCTTAAATGGGAATTTGTATTGGATTGTGTCTAGTAGAGTGTGTGATGATGAGCATTTTATTCAAACATTTGATTTCTCAACAGAGATGTTTGAATTTTATTGTACCTTGCCTACTAAAATCTCCAGTAAATATAATCATCCTAGATATCTTGACGTTTATAGAGGAGATCGTTTTTCATATTTAGAGCAACAATGTGACACAAGGAATATGGAGATTTGGGTGACCAGAAAAAAGATTAAAAATAAGGGTGGGGAGGCTGTGGAGTGGATGAAGTTAATGAATGTGTCAGTTCCTGAATGTTGGAGTTTTGAATTCTCCTTTTGGTATAAGCTAAGCTACTTCATCGATGATAAAAGTCTTAGTCTCGTGTTGTGTAGTTGTACCGCTGGGGGAAAGACTAGCATCTATATTGCGAAGGGAGATAAGTTCAATGAAATTAAACTAGATAACTTGGTTGAGGATCATCCACTACTTCGCCTTACATATTTTCCTAGTCTTGTCCAAGTTCCTACGTTCACGGTGAGCAGCAGGGAGCCTGTTGACTCCCGCTTTGCACTCCCTAAAGGAGTAGAGGTGAGCAATGGAGTTGGAGAAATTGAGTGGGACGATGGCTTCTTCGATCATATATGGAGAATATATGTAGGAGAAAGTGATCATGGTGGCGTCTTCCTCAAGTGTGACTACATCAGGGATAACATGAATTTTGTTGGAGCCGGTCACTGGAGTGCTAAAGCCCTTATTCCAGATCAGCCAGAGGACAGCGAGGTTTCTTCTTTTTTTTTTGTGAATTATTTTCTAACTTTTAATTTCATGAAATTTATTATATACATTTTATTGACAGCTTATGATCTTTGACGATGACTACATCGAAGCCATCGAGGGGACTTACACTGAGAGTCAAATCACATCCCTCACGTTCCTGACGAAAGGACATTGGCGGTTATCGTGCGGACACTTAAACGGTAAGCCCTTCGTGCTCCGAGGAGTAAAAGGTTCCAAGATCATTGGGTTTTACGGAAGAAGTTCTGGTGACCACCTCACAGCTCTCGGCATCCACCTCTCTGCCCCCGGCTAGATTTATCCCATACTATAAATCATATTTATGCATATGCTAAAATAGAACTAATTATATTCTTTATAATTTAAACAAGAAAAAAACGAGAACCAAAAGTTTTTTTTTCTTTTTCTTCCAACTACTTTATTAAACAATAGATGAAATTACATAGTCTCTATGAATTGAGTTTGTAATTATATGTGGTACATAGTTATGACAAATTAAAAAATAAATTTCCATCTTGGATAGGACCAAAAGTTTTATCTTAAAAATAAACCATTATCTTCAACACATTCTGATGTTTCCGTCGATCTTCTATGTCTTATCATGATTATTTAGTCTAGTATAATATATGAATTTTCAACTATCATTTTAGAACGCAAGCAAGAAAAAAGATAAATCATCACAAAGGGGGGGGGGGATAATTGGATTATTTATATATTGATTTTCCTTATTAAGATCATCACAAATGGGATAATAGAATAATTGTAAAATAAGATATGTTTCTCTCCAGAGCATTCCCACAATTTTTACTTCTAAAAATAAACATTCTCAAAATATTTATTTGACACCATGTACTTTTTATTATAGAGTTGAAAATTAATCCTATTAACTTTTAAATTTTGTAAAAATTTTAATAAAATTGTGAACTTGTTTAAACTAAAACTCCTTTAGTAGAATATAATATAAATAAATGGTGTGATTTTATTTTATAAAACTGTGTTTTTCAAGAAAGAATTGTTTTAGTCATAATTAGTTTAATAATGACAGAGGAATTCTATTTTTTTATTCTATTTATAAAAATATTAATTTATATTTGAGAGTAAGATATAGAGATGGATTGAAGCATGTTCTTTGTTATAACATTTAAAAATAAAAATGGCGTGCAATGGATTGCAGATGATCTAAGTTTGAATTTGAACCTTTTCGTGAAATCACAATGATCAAGACGCAAGGGCCATATGGTGTTACGGATTACCACACTTAGTTAGCTAGATACATACAACAGATCGACATGATGAATCATTATATGGGTATTTTGGGTTCTTGAAAGGTTGATACGTAATTGTATATGTTTATGAACTTCTGAAGGTCAACTGATAATATATACTATTTCAATACCAACAACATATTATATACTAGTAAATGTTCTAGTCAAAACTTTCGTTGTTGAAATTGATAGTGCATTTTATATTCGCTTTGATGCGTTCTTTTTTTTTGGAAAACTCGCTTTGATGCGTTCACATTACTATTACGTAAAAGAGTAAAGATCAACATCATGTCGCAATTTTTGACCAAGACTTGCAATAATGCCCTAGGAGTCAAACCTTTCACGTTTCTTCTTTCTCAGCCTAATAACATCACAGAAGATGAAACTCTTCACACAACCCAAAACAAAATAAACAATCTAAGAAATGTTTCTTCTCTTCGAAGCAGTTCTTGTTCTCTTCTTCCACAACTCCCATGGCTACTTCATCCCAACAGGATCGGTAGGAATCGGCTACAACGGCTACTTCACTCTAACCAACACAACAAAACACTCACACGGTCAAGCTTTCGACAGCAACCCAGTTTCATTCACAAACTCATCAACAAACATCACAACATCTTTCTCAATAAACTTCTTCTTCGCGATCGTCCCTGAGCATAACCATCAAGGCTCACACGGTATGGCTTTCGTTATCTCTCCCACAAGAGGCCTACCCGGTGCTTCCTCCGATCAGTACTTAGGAATATTCAACGAAACAAACAACGGTAAAGATTCTAACAACGTGATAGCTATCGAGTTAGATATACATAAAGATGAGGAGTTTGGTGATATCGATGATAATCATGTTGGGGTTAATATTAATGGTATGAGATCTGTTGCCTCTGCTTCTGCTGGTTACTATGATGATAAAGATGGAAAGTTTAAGAATCTTTCTTTAATTAGTAGAAATGTAATGAGGCTTTCTATAGTTTATAGTCAACTTGATAAGCAGCTTAACGTTTCTCTATTCCCTGCTAACATCTCTGTTCCGCCTCGAAAACCGCTGTTGTCGTTGAGCAAAGACCTCTCTCCTTATCTACTAAAGGAGAAGATGTATCTTGGATTCACTGCATCGACTGGTTCGGTTGGTGCAATCCATTACATGATAGGTTGGTTTATCAATGGAGAAATCGAGTTTCCGAGGTTAGATTTTGGTATGTTACCAATCCTTCCACAATATCCGAAGAAATCATCTCAAAGAACAAAGACCATTTTAGCGGTCTGCTTAACTGTATCCGTAATCGCTGCGTTTATCGCTTCATGGATCGGTTTTGTCTTTTACTTGAGGCACAAGAAAGTCAAAGAGGTTCTTGAGGAATGGGAGATTCAGTATGGACCTCATAGGTTTGCTTATAAGGAGCTTTTCAACGCCACAAAGGGTTTCAAGGAGAAACAACTTCTCGGAAGAGGAGGTTTTGGTCAAGTATATAAAGGCGCTCTCCCGGGTTCCGATGCAGACATAGCTGTGAAACGGACTTCTCATGATTCAAGACAAGGTATGAGCGAGTTTCTAGCTGAGATCTCGACCATTGGTAGGCTTAGACATCCAAATCTAGTAAGGCTTTTGGGGTATTGTAGACATAAAGAAGATCTCTACTTGGTTTATGACTTCATGCCTAATGGTAGCCTTGACAAGTATCTTTACTACCGTAACAATGNATAGCTGTGAAACGGACTTCTCATGATTCAAGACAAGGTATGAGCGAGTTTCTAGCTGAGATCTCGACCATTGGTAGGCTTAGACATCCAAATCTAGTAAGGCTTTTGGGGTATTGTAGACATAAAGAAGATCTCTACTTGGTTTATGACTTCATGCCTAATGGTAGCCTTGACAAGTATCTTTACTACCGTAACAATGAGAATCAAGAACGGCTTACTTGGGAGCAACGTTTCAAGATTATTAAAAACGTTGCTTCTGCTTTGTTATATTTGCATCAAGAATGGGTTCAAGTCATCATCCATCGAGATATTAAACCTGCTAATGTTTTGATAGACCGTGAAATGAATGCAAGGCTTGGAGATTTCGGATTGGCTAAGTTGTATGATCAGGGTTTTGATCCAGAGACATCTAAAGTAGCTGGAACGTTAGGGTATATCGCACCAGAGTTTTTAAGAACTGGTAGAGCAACTACGAGCACTGATGTTTATGCATTTGGGCTGGTTATGCTTGAAGTGGTATGTGGTAGGAGGTTGATTGAGAGACGTGCAGGGGAAGACGAAGAGGTTCTTGTGGATTGGATTCTTGAGCTTTGGGAGAAAGGAGAAGACATTCTTGTTGCGGTTGAAGAGAATATACGTCATGAACAGTACAGGGGACATCTTGAGCTTGTTTTGAAGCTTGGTGTGTTGTGTTCGCATCAAGCTGCATCGGTTAGACCAGCTATGAGTGCTGTTATGAGGATATTGGATGGTGTTTCGGAGCTTCCGGATAATCTTCTTGATGTGGTGAGGGATGAGAAGTTGAGAGGATGGCCTGAGAAACCAATGGAACTGCTTTTTGATGTGNGTACAGGGGACATCTTGAGCTTGTTTTGAAGCTTGGTGTGTTGTGTTCGCATCAAGCTGCATCGGTTAGACCAGCTATGAGTGCTGTTATGAGGATATTGGATGGTGTTTCGGAGCTTCCGGATAATCTTCTTGATGTGGTGAGGGATGAGAAGTTGAGAGGATGGCCTGAGAAACCAATGGAACTGCTTTTTGATGTGGGTTCATCAACGTATACAGACACTTTAGTCTCACATGGACGCTGATTATTGAAATTTGCCAAATGGAAGTTGATTCTTTGGTTACCAAGAAGATATACAGATCTGAGACGGATGCACATTCATATATGATAGATTGATTTGTAGATTAATAGCAGCAGAGCTCATTGTCTTTTTGTCAGGGTACACACAATACAAGTAGAATACACAATACTACTCTTTGTATTATACTATTATGGGGTCTCATATGTAAGCAATTTAATATTTGATAAATTACTTGATTGGATCAAGAGTAGTGTGGTAGATAGCTCCTTCAATATGAAATTTCACCAAGAATCTTTGAATGTCTGATCTTCCAATACTGGATATTACATAAACAACTTTCGTGATTTGTTTGTCTAAACATAATTTGGTTCAATCTTTTTCTATGTTTTAATAAGACTTAATGTTTGATCTTTCAATAGATTAAATCATTTAAAAGTCTTAGCTAAGGCAGGTGTTGTTGTCCCAGGTCCTACTCTCCAATGATATTTGGCAAATTCGATAGAATGTTTATACAATTTATTAGAACCATTGTCAATTTCCATAAATAAAACGCAATATTATAAGACGCCATTAAATGTGCAACTGAATTATATTTACCATTACAGTTTTCTTGTAAAAATCTATTCAGGCAAGCAAACAGGTAATCCTAAGTCTTAACAGAGGACAGATTAAAAAAGAAGAAAGAACCGATAATTGAATTAAATCATATTTAAAACAAAAAAACAACAACGAATAAGACTTATAAGTCGTCCAATTGAAAAATTATCTAGACGATTTAATCGTAAGTTTTCAAAAAATCTTTTGGATTAAAGTAAATACATGTCTATCGATAACTTCTTTAAAGCATTAACGTCCTTTGTCACCCTTGTAAGCCAGTATGGATGGAAACGGTCTGTTTGGTATGGAATTACCATAATTAGTATCCAATTCCGACAGAGCTGTGTATACCCAGACCTAGAGAGCTTGTATAAACCCATCAACAGTGTAACAACCTGAAATATCTTTGTCCTTCACAGAGTCCATCATCACCTTAAATGTGACTTTCCCCCATGGATAATTCTCAAACCGTTATAACTCCATCACTAATCTTGCCAGACTAACCCGTGTAGGGGTTGAATACTTTCTCCCTTCAATGTATCCAGTGAAGATAGCAAGGTACCCGAGCCGCTTATGATCATCCCGAGACCACCCTTCGCATCTCTGAAATGATGCTATTCTCTGTTGAGTAGTTGGCCCAGCTTCGACATGAACTCCTAACAACTCCTAGAAAGAAGCCAACTCCTTTGTACGTAACAACACAGTTTGGTCTCTCAAGGTCTTCGATGTACTCGCAGTTTAGACCAGTGAGGTATTCAAACTCTAACAGTGAAAACCTCTAAGGTTGTGGACCAACGAGACTCTACAGCTTATACTTCTTCTTTATGTTGAGCTGGAAACCGAGCATGTAGTGAACCAGCCTTGAAGCCCAATCAAATCCCAGCTCTTGGAACTTCATGAAAATTCCCAACTTAGACTCCTTCAGCTCTTCACATTCGTCATCATGAAGAGCATTCTTTAAAGCAGTATACAACTTCATACACGTATGATACGAAATGCTATCCAATGCGGGGGGGCTCTTGCCCTACTATATGTATCCTACCGGGGAGTTCTTGGATACCCATTTTTTTCTGCAAAATAATCAAATTCAACCATCTCAAACACACAACATCCAGTATAACATTTTAATTATAAGTCTGGAAGACTTTCCAGACGACTTATAATTAAGTCGTCTGGAAAGTCTTCCAAGACTTACAGTATAGATACAACATGAGTATAGACATGAAAAAAAGAAACGCGATGAGAACGACGGTGACAACGAGTATAGATACAACCTGAGTATAGAGACAACGTTTTATGTTCATATTTTCCTCAATCAATCAGTCAATAGTAAGAGATATAACTTACCGACGGCGGAGTTCAACGAAATGCCTCTAAGAGAAACGGCGCTAGGGTTTACAGAGAAACGACGCTAGGGTTTCCTCTCAGATCTGAAATAGAGGAAGCGGCAGTGAGAACGGTGGTGATAGCGACAGTGATAATGGCGGAGAGATAACCAGCGGTGAGAACGATGGATTAGAGAGATTTGACGGAAATCACCTTTAAGAGAAACCGCGGTTAGGGTTTTCTAAATTTCGCGAAAAAGTGGGTAAAAAAAATCTTATATATGTACGGTAAAAAATCCGGTTAGGTTTAAAAGTAAATTGGTAAAATCAAAGGTTCAGTCCGGTTTGGACGACTTGTTAGTAAGTCGTCTGTTGAGTACTATACATCAGACGACTTACTAGTAAGTCGGCTGCCTTAAAAATATTTACCAGACGACTTAATAGTAAGTCGTCCAGACCCTAAACCCTAAACTAAATTGACTAAATTAACCAAGTAGCCACGTTATAAAATCAAATTATACTTAAAATAATATATACTATATACATAAATAAACACACTTAGGTAAATTTTAAATTTTTCAGAAAAACATTTATGCTTTCAAAAATCTAACCCTAAGAAACGAATACAATACTACAACATATGTTTACAAAACCTAAACCAAAGAATATCATGACTCACTACTTTCACTCATCTATGTTAAAAACAATTAAATTTGTTATATCTTAATTTATATCTCTTAAAACATATGTTAATTACATGATTTCAATTTTCCACTTATCAAAATATTTTTTACAAAATTTTAAATTATTTTTAAGAATAACTATACTAGACGACTTTCAATTAAGTCGTTTAGACGGCTTACTTGAAATTCGCTTGGACAGATTACTTATGGGGTTAGAAACGTAAAAAAAATTGGGGGTTTTTGTTTGTTCACAAGGGGCTCATTGTAATTTTAATAGCCTTTTAGGTCTTTTGCATTTGATTCAAGTTTGAGTTTACTTTCGCATTTGAAATCAAGTTGTGAGTCATATTTAAAAAATTTCCCTAAAAATATAACTCTATAATAGATGAATGCTATTTTTCTTCTATATTGAGAAAAATAGTAATTTCTATTTTAGAGTAAGATAAAAAAAAGGATTGGAGCATATATTTTTCTTATAACATTTAGTAATAAAAATGGCAATGGATTGCAGATGATTTACTTTCGAATCTGAATCTTTCACAAAAGCAGTGATCGAGACGCAATGACCATATGGTGTTACGGATTACCCTAAAAAGTGAGCCACATGGGAGAACCACAATATTGAAGAAGATAACCATCAGTTACAATGCCTTGAGTATTAGCTTAGTCCAGTTTGACTATGTGGACGGTACGGGAACTGTAAAGTGGCTTCCAAAACAAATCATCCATGTGGTTTTAAGTTTGCTTCTGTCTTTCATATTGAGAGGCTGTCTCATAGGAAATGGTACAATGATTTTTTTTGCCTCTCTTTGTTTGTGATTACACTCCCGATTTCTAAGTTTGGTTCTTTCTTCATATTGAGAGGAAAAATTTCGATTTTGCGATTTTGGAGGGAAATCTCGATTTCCGAGAATCTCGAGTTTATGATTTTGGCGAGAAATCTTGGTTTTGTGATTTTTTCGAAAAATCTTAAGTATATGATTTTGACAGAAAATTTTAATTTTTGGAATTTTGGTGGGAAACTTGATTTTTATGATTTTGACGGGAAATTTTGAGTTTATGACGATTTTGGCAGAAAATATCGGTTTTGTGATTTTGACGAAAACTCAATTTTGTGTATTTGGCGGAAAATCTAATGACAAAATTTTGGAAACCTAATTTTCTTGTGACCATTGGATAGACCATGTCCATATTGTCCAAACCCATTATCGTCCATTGTTCAATGGTCTAGTAATTTTTGTCCATTTATTTCCACATGGACAAATAGGTATTAACTAATAAAATCGAAATTTCTCACTTAAATCATATAATCGACATTTCCCGCAAAATTTAGATTTCCCGCAAAACCGAGATTTCCTGCCAAAATGACGTATTACCAAATAAAACCCATTTACATATGGACATGGACCATCAATGGTCTACCCGCCCTTTTTACAGCTCTACTCATAGGAAATGGTACAATGATTTGTTTTGTCTCTCTGCGTTTGTGATTACTCTCCTATCTCTAAGTTTGGTTCTTTCTTCATATTGAGAGGCTGTCTCATACACAACGTTACGGTGATAGATTGTGTATTTTTGTGTGTTTGTGGTTACAGTTACTCGTATTGAAGCAAGGAGCCACAACTTGGACATGTTTATGCATTTAGATGTTGACACTGAGGTTTATCCGTTGGCTGTTGGTGATAAGTTCACACGGGTTATGGCTCCAACGCTTAATCTAGATGGAACTTCTGATACTGGATATTATACTCCGATAACAAAAGTGTTTTACCTATTATTATTCACATTCTATGTTCTGTGAAGTTTAGTCATGTTGAGTCTGTTTCTACTCTGAACATTAACAGTTTTTATATTTATATATTACAGGGAGCAAAGAAAACGCTTGCTGGTAAGTATGAATGCGTGATGCACGGGAAGCTTTATATATCAGCTTGCATTAAAAGATTATCTCGATATAAGTTGTAACGTCTTCTAAATGAATTGGTCTAATCCTTAAGCAATCGCAAATAAGTGTATTGTTTTAGCAAAAAAAAAACAAATGAATAAGAAAAACAAATGAAAAAACAAATGAATACGAAAAACGAATGATAGAAGTACAAGTTCGTCGTATGTTAACCGTGACATATATTATAATTCATATATTTACCGTCTCTTTATTAAGATGATTGTGTGTTATATATATTGCAAAGAAAATAAACTAAAAATATATATCGCGGATTTTTTTTTCATTTTTATATACATATATTATGTTTTATATTATTAGCGATGTTATTCATATATTTAAAATGTTTATATAACTATTATAAAAACAATAATTGTATAGTTTACATGCTAATATTAAATGTTTCAATAATTTTTTATTATATATTTAATAAGGAGATTTGTAATGCAGTTAATATCTAGCTTGAAGATTAAAAATGACTGATCATTTATCATTAAAGAAATATATAAACTTTTAAATGATGGTCCAATTTAAAATATCACATATAAAAGAAATCATGACTTCTGTTTCAATATAATAGATATTTTAAATTATATAATAAATTTTATTAATAAATTAATATAATTTTATGTTGTATACTGTCTAACTATCTAACTTTATAACAATGTTTATGTATTATAAATTTGTATTTTTGTAAAAAAAAATACTTTAAAAAATTATTATATAAAATTACTAATTTACATATTTTGTTTTATTTCTAAGTTTGAAATATAGGTAAAAAATTCAATTATAGATCTACTCATGATCAGCAGAACTATTTCTGGAATAGTTTTACCTAGGAGATGACCAGCTGTTCGGTTAACTACTGAAGGGAAGCTTCACTGTATCTGAAATCTATAGAGTTTGCCGGCAACATTAACGGAGCCACAGCGAGGTTGGTCAATTCTTCCTCAATTACCCTAACCTATTTGTTTTATTAGGCAGTTACATGTACTATCTCCACTGATATCGTCAGATACACTTATTTTTTGACGCTATGAATAACCAGAGTTGATCGGAGAAGATGAACAATGTTTGGTAAATTATTTTCTATACTATTATATGCATATAAGATAAAAATATAAAATAATATGTATTATATATATTCTATTCATATTATGTAATGCAATATATTCTATTACTATACTATTTCCATGTTCAGTTCCATTTGAAGATTAATAAAGAATCTTATATTTTGTTTAGAAGTATATTTTGTAATTTTCTTAAGTTTTAATTATTTTACACGTTTTTAAATATGTGAAAATTGTACTATGATCTATTCCCTCCGTTTCAATATAATCCATGTTTTAGAAAAAATAATTTGTTTCGAAAAATACATATTTCACAATATTTTCAATGCATCATTTAATGTTAAATTATAAATTTCAAAATATTTATTAAAATCCTATTGGTTAAAAGTTATGGGAAACAGTGCATCGCAAAAAATAATACATGGTAATTTAAAATTCATAAACTTTCTTAAGATGTGTGAAAAATACTAAAACATGCATCTTATTGAAACGGATGGAGTATATTGTACAGTTTACTATTACATAATAAAACTTAATGTTACATAATATAAGTACTTTTTTAGATTTTGATATTTGGGTTTAAGGTTTATATTTGAGTTTAGGGTTTAGTGATTATGGTTTAGTATTTTAAAGGTGAGGGGGTATGGTTGGGATAAAACTAACTTCATAGACATTTTATAATTTCACTAATATATATTATCCTATGTTTTTGGTTCCATTCTATTTGGGTTTAGGGTTTATATTTAGATTTAGGGTTTGCTATTAGGTTTTAGGATTTAGTATTTAGGTGTTGTTGGTGGGTTTGGATTTAGAGTTTATTATTTAGTGGTTAGGATATTGTTGATGTTTTACAATAAATAGTGTATTACATTTATTTCTCACAGTTAAATTGGAATGTTCTGTTCCATATCAACAAAATAGTATAGTGTTGTTATTTTCAATAGTATGCAGTAATTGTTGACCATACCTCATTTCTTCAACGTCATCTAAGTGTCTCATTCACCGACTACTTGTATTAGTTGAGGGTATAACCGAACAAAAACAGGGCTAAATGTTATTGATTACTAGCGGTTTTCCTGGGCTACGCCCGAGATTTCTTATATAAATTTTAGTTTAGTTTAATTTGTTATAATAATTTTTGAATATATATAAGAAAAAATCTCTAGGATATACCTAAAAATATATAATGCCTATATATCGATTTTTAAAAATATAAATTATAAAATGAAGTTTAAATTATTAAAGTGTAAACAAACTAATATTGAAAATAGATATTATATGTTTTCTGTTTTCAGTTGTGCTAAAATGTCAAATAAATTTACATGATATTTGATCAAAAACTGTAAAATATCTAGATGGGATAGTTTGGTTATTGTTTGATGAATTACTTTTTGACAAACAGATGTATTTAATACTGTCTTTTGTATAGGTAATTTTTTAATTCTTCAAACTTCTAACAATGTCTATTATAGTATTTTTTTTAAAAAAATTATTTCTGTGAAGCGGGTAATATTTTTTCTCTAATTTACTGAACAAAAGAAACTATAAAAAATATCATTCCTGATAATTAAAATTTATATAAATTTAGATTTATTAGTTTTTCTTAAAATCTTTTTAAAAGAATTTAAAAAATAATTGTATATTTTGTTTGTTAACAATCATATATTAAATTAGTGTATACTAATTTAATAATATAAGCGTTCATAAATACAATAATGCTACTACACTGGGTCTATAATACTTGATAGTTTTAAACAAAAATGTATACCAAACGTTTTGTAAGCTTACACGCATTACAAATGCTTACATGATATTTTGATAATTAATGCAGTTTTGGTTCTTGAATAATTATAGTAAACATGTGATAACATCTACTATATCATCCATTGAACATTTGTTAGATACGTTTATTGTAGAATATTCGTTATCTATTGTATTTCCGAGTATATGACTTAAAACTATATGAAAAGAAACTTAGATTATAAACTGTAATTTAAATATCTAGAGATATAGAAGTTGTTATTCATCTTTAAGGATATGTTGAAAGTGAGGACGTTTTTTTGTTTAATTTATTAAAAATCATATCACATGTAAAAATCAATACAAATTCAAATGAAATAAAAAATTATAATTGGACCTATAACACTTTAAAAAAATGATAGAATGACAAGTGTCATCGTTTGCCCCTATGGAGAAATAAACTCTACTTTATTATATAAGAGATGTATAACTATTTATTTTATAAAACCTTTTGACATATTTTATAACTAATAATTCATATATCACCATTACAATAGAAAAAATAAACTAAATATAAGTACGTTGAAAAAAAAATCACATTAACTTATATATCATATGTTCATCAATAAATATATATAAAATTATTTATAAATTTTTGTTAAAATAGAAAATTAAAAAACAATACTAATGAAATAAAAACTTTGTTTAATTAATGTATAAGTTTTTATTAGCATTTATTGGTTCATTAAGTAAAAAAAAAATTGTTAAATATAATAAAAGAAAACCTTATTTTACACGAATGTAAGAACACGATTAGCTCTCATTCGTTTTAAATCTCTCCAGAATATGGTCCTTTTAAAATTGTTTCTGTTTGTCTAGATCTGTGAAAGGTATAGAGATCGTAATCCCCTATATATTAAAGGAGAAACATTACAATATCTTTGGTAGCCATGTGTAATCACCATAATGAGTCTTAAAAATCCTTAGAAAAAAGGTTGGTCCATCTATCTTTATAATAAGCTTTTTATTAAACTAACCATAAATTTATCATTAATGTTCTCCTTTTTTCCTTAAATAAAATTACGAAATTGCCTAATATGAATAAAATATATATGAAATTAATGGTTTTGAATAATAACAATTAGTGTATCATCTATATATTTGTTTAATTTTAAATTAGCGAAATAAATTAAACAACTATATTTTCCATAAAAAATAGATTTGATTGTCTATGTTATATTTTCATTTTTTAAACGACTATATATTATTAAAATTATAAATTGCTAAAACTATTAATCCCACAGCAGTGATTTAATTTTTTGTTATACACACAAATGATCAAAAATCATATGAATGAAAAGCATCATTTAATATATATCAATACAAAAATACACAATATATACGTTAATATCATTTAAATTTAATTATATACCACATAAAATAATTATTTTTATTACTGAAATTTATTTATGTTTCTACACCAATTTAATTATAAACGTAATAGTTACTGATATTGAATGATTCTGTTTGTGCTGTGTTGGTGACAAGATGGCTCGGCTAAGAGGAAAGCTTTCATTGTCTGATGTATTGAGGTAATGAACTCATGGTAGTAGTGTCTTCTTCACTCTTTATATAGAATACTGATCTATGTTTTACAGATATAGAATACTGATCTATGTTTTGCAGATATGGGGTTGATCTATGTTTTGCAGATATGGGGTTGATCTTGTTAAAGGGATCCTTGAGTTGCACGCAAAAGGGTTTCTGATTCTTAATCTCAAGCCCTTATAACTTTCTTCTCAGTGATAACGACAAGGCCATCCTCGGAGATGTTGGAGTCCCTTATCTACTTCATAGCATCCCTTTGACAAGTTATGAGATGATAATGAGACTTAGAACTCCAAACTATATGGCTCCAGAACAGTGGCAACCTGAAGTAAGAGGTCCCATGTCCTTTGAGACTGATTCTTGGGGGTTGGATGCAGCATTGTGGGAATGCTCACTGGTGTACCGTCTTGGAGTGGCAAATCAATTGATGAAATACACGACTTAGTGGTCATAAAGAGAGAAAAGCTTACTATCGCCAGTGACATAACGCCTCCAGGGTTGCTTTATGTATGATCTTCGAAGCAGACCTTCTATGACAGATATCTTACACGTCTTGAAGAGATAAATCAAACCTTGTCACCAACCTATATTCAGCTTGAATAAGA